GTTTTTTTTTTCCGATTGTTTTCGCTTCTATTTCTTTTGTTTTGCTGCTCTCTCTGCTGCGCAAATGAAATGGAAGAATTTTTTTTTTTATATCTAATTCGAAAAACGTATTCCAAGAATACGTTTACCGACAGTTTAAAAACGTATTTATTTAAAAATAGAATAATACAAATCGTATTTTTAAAAACGTTTTTTCGGTTCTTAAAAACGTATTTCCACAATACATTTTCCTAAAAACGTATTTCCATAATACGTTTTATATTTATTATTTTTTTATTTTTGATTATTAAAGGAATTTTGTGTTTATTTTTTTTATTTAGTAAAAAAGTAAGAACGTATTCGCGGAATACGTTTTTTCTAATTAATTTTTTTTAAAAAAAAAACGTATTCTGAGAATACGTGTGTTTGATTTTTTTCCACACTTATTTTTTTTTTTTATTTTTGTCTACTTAATTTTTTTTTTTTTAAATAAATAAGCCACCCAATAGAAACCATTCATATTTATCGCTTAATTACAAAAAATCTAAATCCTTATTTATGGCAATAACATTTTTTGTTCGCTTAATTACAAAAAATCTAAATCCTTATTTATGGCAATAACATTTTTTGTTTTAAATACGTTTTCAATATCTATTTTGTTATAGGATCAATAAAAATAAAAAGAAAAAAAAGAAAAAAAAAATACTCAAATAGAAAATCTTTATACTCAAATGGTAGTCTTGATATTATCTTCACATTGAATTTATATCTACGATATAAAATTTCAGTTTAATTTTTGGTATCATCTCAATATTTATTTTATATATCTTATATAAATTTCGCTTGAAATGATGTCTAGTTATCAATACTTGATAAACTTCTAAATGTGTTTTTGGGGCTAACTTTTTACACATTATGTACATGAAGGTTTATAACTATTTGTAGATGTTAAATATAAGTGTCACTAGACATGTTTTGATGACAAAATAATAAAGAAAAATTACAGATGACTTCACATTTTTTGTATACAAAATAGTTTAGAAAACATCACATTTCAAGAATAATATACAATAATTTAGATAATCTTATATAAATTATATAAAAATTTTGGTATTTTTAGTATTTTTAACATACATGTTTTATGTTCGTTTATACAAGATAAATTTAATATTTTTAATTATTTCACATGTTAACCTCATATTTTTAAATTATCCTTATTATTTAATATTAGTTACCCACATCTTTAATTTTTACAATAATTATTTAGTATTATTTACACGTTTATCGCATGGGCTACACACTAGTTTAATATTTTAAGAAAGCATGTTGGGTCAGATATTAATCCTATAAACATTTACAATTTTCAGCCCAATTGGATATAAATTTCTAAATATATTACTTTATTGTATCTATATTGCCAATTGGAATATGTTATCAAGATTTACGAGATTTGAATACACTTCAATACTTCAATAATATTCTTCTGATTTTGTATATGTTTGTGATAAAGTATTTTGGAGGGTAATTACATTTTCGAAAATTAATATATATTGTTCGAATTGAACATAATTTACAAAGAAAAAGGTTAAAAATTCTTAAAATGACATTTTCATTTGAAATCTTGTTAATTCTTAAATAAATTTTGGCTCACACTCATTAATTTGTCTGAATTCGCCCCTATTGAGATAGCATCGAACTAGCCCATTTCTACTCGCTTAGACCTAACATAAGTAGATCCGTTCCTAACTAAGTCATGGAGGCGTTATCGATTGGTTTTTATTGATCTAAATATATTTGGATGTATATGTAAGGCTGAATTACAACATGTGTGCGTTTTTAGGTTGTTTTGTTATTGCAAGCGAATGAATTGGATTTTTTGGGAATCCAGCTTTTGCCCTTAAATAATGGCAGTCATTTGAACCAATAACCAGGCCATATATTTGTCAACGACTTTACTAGTGGGCCAATCTTTGTTTCTTCTTTTTTTTTTTTTCAGAAGTGACAATTATTAATAAAATAAATATTTGCAAGGTGTTAATAATCCGACTGAAACAGTTATACGTCATGTTTATAGAGAATCGAACTTCTCGACAAATTATCTGGTTTCGTTGGCTGCTACTAGTCCAGGAGGTACTCATCGCCTCGAGGTTCTGCCAGTTGGATTGAAACCTTGGTTAGAGCATGATCGTGTCGGGGTGGCTTACCCGCGTAGAATAGCTATCTAAGTCTATTCCTCCCTCTCTTTGTACCAAAAAGAAAAAATAATCCGACTGAAACAACTATACAATTGAATTCAGAGATAGAACAACACGGAGAGAACTTTCGTAGCCTAGAGTAAAAATAAACTAAATGTACTCAAAAACTATTATAGCCGTAATTTAAGTTCCCACAAATGGAGAAATTTTTAATTCCAATTATGTAGAATAAGAACATGGCCAATATTTGTTAAAGAATAGTCGATATATTTCTGAATAACAGCGGCAAAATAACGATGAAGAAGAACGAAGTAGCTAGAATTCAACTCGGTTTACAATCATGAAAGGAAAACATTATCCCAAAGAGAACAATCACGGTGATAAATTTCGATATATGTTACAACAATGATAATAAAACTAACTACTGTCGTAGTAGAACTGAACATTTCCATGAAATTAACAAGAGTTTACCTGACTGATATCATGGTCCATGTTTCTGAAGGCCATGTAAATGACAGTTTGAAATGCACCTAACAAAAATCCGATTCCATTTGGGATCTACACAAATTGGACAAAAACAGTATCGTAACACATAACACGATTATATATTGCTCAACAACAACAACAACAACAACAATATAATAATAAAAAATTAGAGTTAATTTCACTTACCCCTACAAGAAGGTCGGGTTTAAGCAATCCATACGTGAACCACACACCGCCACTTATCATCAGAAAAAACGACAAGGTAACTGGCATGTACTTTACACTCTTATCACGAATAACACGATACTGCATGAGAAGGAACCCTAGAGTTTAAAAAAAAAAAAAAATAAACGAAGAAGAAAATTTTTTTACTTACAAGAATAGCGAGAGGTGACGCGAAGGCAAGTGTGGTGGATATAACGCAAATCCACCCGATGATTACTATCTTCATTGAGGCTTCACTTACACATAATGTAGACACCAACAAAATAACCACAGATAAGCTTGTAATAAGAGCTACGAGTTTGGCTGCCACTATCTGAAAAGACAATTATATGTTCAAATTAATTAACTTGTATACTTTTTTAAAGTAGTGAATGGTTCTGTAACGGGACCGTAGCATTTTCTTGTAAATTAATTACTTACTCGAGCGGGTCTTAAAGCGTAATACATGTATATGACAATGTACATCATCTCTATAAAACATCCGAGTACGTTAGTGGATATTATAGCTGGGTTGTGCCTCAAATATCCATAGTACAACCACATTATGAACGAGAAAAGTGCTACTACGTAAGGTATTAATTGATGGCCTTCCGTAGACTTTTCTCTATATATTCTGAAAAATGTTGGTCTGCAATATATATATATAAACAAAATAATAAAATTATATTAAATAAAATGCACATACTAAAGTATGATTGATAAATCAAAGTGAAAAACGAATTGATAAATAAGCAATAGTTTGGTTGTGGTGTAACCAATTTATTGCCTATTTAGAGAACTTTTATGGTGGTTGTATTTACGATTTTGGAGTAAAATGCAATTTTAGTCATTTATGTTTGACTACATTAATTTTTCCGTGCTCTTCGAAATGCTTTTTTCATTTTCGTCCCGTATGTTTGCAAAAAAAGTTACAAAAATGTCATTTTCGCAATAAAAATGTTCTTTATGTTTTCTGCAAAAGAAAGTTTCAGTTTCTCCTTTATGTATGAAAATGACATTTTTGCAACATTTTTGCAAGAGAAAAAAAAAAGTTAAGATAGTGAAATATACAGGACTAAAAATACAATTTACTCTATATTTTATTTAATTTGAAGTGCTTTTTTTTTAAAAAAAAATGATTGAGCTTATTGATGGGAGCTCTACAGAAAAAATTCAATTATATTTTTTTTGTATATTCAGTTGACTAACATAAAAACTAAAAAGGGTCAACTAAAATATGTCTTTCAACTGACTCAATACAACTAATATTAAGTATTATTTATACTGTAGTCATTTGCATTTCAATCATTAGTTAAACCTATTAATTAGCTCTAATAATAATAATAATAATAATAATAATGATAATAATAATGACAACAACAAATAACAACAATTTTTGTCCAAGTATTGGATAGCGGCCAACTAATTTTTCTCTTCACGGAAGAAAAAATCCAGAAAAACTTTGTCACTTATACACAAGAAGAAGTTAATGAACCAACAATACTGTCTTTAAAAGGAAAAATTTTAATTTTGGTTCGTTTAATTGTCTAAAGTCTACTTTCGTTACACTAATTTTCCCTTCATCAATAATAGTAAGTCATTTGCAATTTGTATCATTTTTGAAACATTAGTCATAAAAAAACAGTATGTTATGTTGCAATTTATATTATATTTATGACATTAATTCTAAAAAATAATGAACTATTTTCGCAATAATGCTTCAATGGTGATACAATTAAATTGCAAACCAACGTACTATTATTGATGATAAGAAAATTAATGTAACAAAAAAGAATTTTAGACAAGTAAACAGATCAAAATTAATTTTTTCTCGTCTTTAAAAGATGAAATATCATAATTTTCATTTATTTGCAAATAAAAAATAAAACAAAAATTGATATTTTGCACAAAAGCCACCCACAAGTTGAGGTGTATTATGCAAATAAAGGCATATATAATAAGTAACTAAATAAGAACTCAGCGGTATTAATTGAACTATCTGCACGTATATTGTTAAAACTTACGCTGGAGCAAGGTACACCAGTCCCGCTGCAATGTTACCTAATGTGACAATAATAATGTAATTAAATTGAAAAACTATACTATAATATAAAGAAAAAGATTAATATATATGGTATATAAGATTTATATTTTCGATTTTAAGTTCGTATTTTTTTCTTTAACTTTTGGTTGCATACGGCTATAATAATTACTAATATAATTCTTTTATCATATAATGATATTATTCATTAATTAAATAAATAATTTGAAATTAATATATGACACATTCCACATTTATATATACTAACGACAACGACATACCCAGTATATTCCCAACTGATTGGGGTTTGGGGGTCAGTTGTACGCAGACATTACCCTTGTAATTATACAAGGTGAACTGTTTCCGTAGCGACCCAAGGTGCACACATTTATATATACTATTTTGTTTAAATCTAAAAATAATCTAAGGTGTATAACTATTAAATAACATACTTGGTTAATGTAACAATTTAATTATAAATATGCTATATGTTATTATATTTTATTTTAGTTGTTATTTTCTTAAAATAAATTATATTATTTTTCAATTTAAAATTTAAATCAATGTACTTAGTTAATGACATTTTTTTTATCACATTTGAAATTTATATATACATTTTTAATAAAAACCCGTGTATTATGTAGGTATGGTGCAATTACATTTTAGATCTAAGTAAATTTTTTTGGTAAAAAGTACCCATGTAATCACAGTATTATATATATAAAGCTTTGAGCGTAATAGAAAGTTGGAAAATGCTATAAGTACATAATACATGTAAATACAGTTGTCTATAATACTCATATAGAGTGGGGTCCACTTGATTTTTTTTATTTTTGATAAGTCCCACTCAATGTGAGTGTTATGTACACAATTATGTACAATATTATGTATCTATAGTTTTTCTCAAGAAAGTTCCATGAACGTAGAAATGGAACTTTTACCTAGAATTCCAAATACGAACGTCAAGTCGTTAACCATTTAGCAACTGTAGGAAACTCAAGCGACCTGTTAAGATGCCGATCGAAAATAGTTAAATCACGTATAAAAAGGAGGGTAAGGTTACAATTCCGTTACAGAACCATTTTGTTGGATTTGTAACCGTTAGATGAACATGTTACACTCGTCTATATGTGCATTTAACGGTTAAAAATTTTAACAAAATGATTCTGTAATGAGACTTTGACCTTTTCCTAAAAAGGAAACTTTTAGACTTATTGTTTATAAAAAAAAAATAAAACAATCTAATTTCAATTTAAAATTTAAACCAACTCCATTATCTTCGATATTATCAGTATAGTTAAATAAAATCATTCAATCATCCATACACATTAAATCACTTTTAATTCATTATTCATTCACTCACATAATTTTAATTCCAATCATTTATCTCTTACTTTTATATTAAATTAATTTTAATTTTTTTAAAATATTATTTTAATGCAAACTTAAAATCCCACGAACTGACTTTTTTCAAATAAATTCTAGTTAGCCAAAAAAAAAAAAAAAAAAA